ATGATTGCCAGTTAGACCCAGCATCAAAACCATGCTAAATCCTAAACCCCCAAAATACCCTAAATCTAAACTTGCAGAGAAACTGCTTAGAGAAACTGCTTGGTCCTCCAAGCAGGCCGGAGATCCCTTTCTTTGACGGAGCCCTCGCGAATGACGTCGTGGTGGATCCAGGGTCCTGAGCTCACCTCCTGGCCGGGTGTTACAAGGGTTTAACAGGGCTTTGTGAGGTTCTGTAAGGGTTCTAGGACCTGGAAGGTTTTGGATTTAAAAAATAAGGTGTTCCTTGCGGTGTATAAATGTATTGTGGTGCTTTGAGAATTTAGGGTTGAGGTTCGTTCTCAGGCGTTCGGCGTCTAAAAAACTTAGGTCTCAGGGCTTAGGGTTCCAGGAGATCCCCTCTGCAGATCGAAGCTCAAGCCGAAAACATCCACGGCGGACGGCACTGAATTCGTCAGCACGCGATGGTTCCGGTGACCACAGCCGGCACCTCAAGCATACCTTGGAGACCTCAGAAATCACACGAAAATGACCACGTAAGCAACAAAATACAATAGGCATGGGAAGCGACCGTGACAATCTCGGTTATCATGCACGCAAGCAGCAGTGCCATATCAACAGCGCGGACAGCTATGGTGTTGGCAATGCAAATCGTAGTCGTCGTCGACGCATTAGTCGCAGCAGTCCCAGTCGCAGCAATCGTGGCCACAGCTGCAGCAGGAGGAGGAAGAGGAAACAACAACAAGAAACATAGAGAACAAGAGGTGGAAGACGAGAATGAACAGTGAGAGTCTTAAGTAGTCCTAGTACCACTTGTTATCCGCGTACTGTCGCCATAGCGGCAACCAGAGAGTTCCAGAGCCTTTCAGAACAGGACGAGCATTGCACCCATGTTCCTTATGCTCACAAATTCAAGCTTGCTGCGGCACCGGCAAACGCTGATGCCGCCTTCGCCCGCTGTTGCCCCCCAAGGGGGCTAGCGTGAATTCACGTTTAGAGGCATCCGGCGGTTGCAGGATACAGGGTTTACGCTGCAGGGTTTATGGAATGCCAAGAGCCCAGAGCCAACAGCTCGATTTTCTCGACACGGTATGTCACGTCAAACCAGTGGACCAGCAAAGAAACAGCCGCCGGCAAGTTGCCGACGTTTCTCTGTGCAGTCGCAGTACGGAGCTCGCCTGAGGCGCTCAAAGGAGGTTAAACTGTTGCAACTAGGTTGCTGGGCTTGCATGCAGGGCGGGTTTTTTAAGGTTGGAGATGTGTTTCGCAGTTCGGGGTTTGAGAGAAGTTATCCCTAGCTGTGCAGACCCATCTTTTGTAAACCGTCAACCGTCATTGAGTTTGGATGGTTGGGCTCATCAAGCCGATCTTGGGAATAATGTGTAACGTAGGGGCCTAGATAATTACCAGTACTATTTTGGGGGGTACCTTATTATAATTATAGCATCATGGACCCCCAAACCCTATTCTAATTATTAAGGCCCCTAAAGGGATGATAGTACATAGATATTTCTGAAGGAGGAACCGACATTATGGTTTCAATGAGGCTTTCAAGAAAAGTCCAGGATGGCTATAGATTTCAGAGGCATCCTCATAGAGGTGCCTATTGTAGGGTTTTTGGGGATGCCTTGTGTTTTGGGATGTCTTGATGTGCTTTGGCGTTCTACTCGCATTGGGGTTTTCGGAGGCTGTCTTCGGATGTTTGGCGCGCTTTTCGGGGACGTTGTTGAGGGCGTGGGTTGCAGAGGTTGGGTCCAGGGGTGCAGGGCTCAGGGTTTTCGGCTCGTCCTGGTTTCTTGCAGGTTGTAGGATTCAATAAGGTGCTTCGGTTTTGGGGTTTGGGCTTCTGTGGTGTTTAGCTTTCAGGGCTTGGGAAATGCAGAGTTCAAGATCCCAGTGGGTACATTGCTGAGGCGTTTCGGGTTCAGGGTTCGACGGCCTCTCGGGTGTCAGTGGTTTGGGAGGGACCCTGTGCCAAATCGGCCTTTATGTTTTTTCAGCTCACCTTTCAGACCTGGCGAGATGTATCTCTGAGGAGCCGCGGCCGGATGTTGAAAGCCCGGCGATCCCTCTTATTCCGGCATGTTATGTTTTGTTCTCCAAGTTGCCTTTCCGATGTCCCAGACGCTCACTGCTCGAAGGATCATGAGAGTTTGCGGCATGTGCGCAAGGCCATGACTTACGTCTTAAGTAGATTCCTTGTAGGGCTTAGTTTCAAGGTTCAAGGCTTACGGTTGAGAAGGCGATCCACGTCCCACAGCTACAGGGTTTCGGAGTCAGGATTTAGGGTCCCAGATTTAAGGATCAGGGCTTATTATGGATGTCGGATTTTTTTACTGACAGTATCTCCTTGTAGTCTTTTTATAATTACGCGATAGTGCCCCCGAAAACATATAAGGTTAAAGGTTCAAGCTTTCGGCTCCTAATGCTCTTCTTTGGGCTCGCTTTGGAGTTGTAAAGTGGTTTTAAACGCCGAGCGCGGCCCTCTTAGCCATGGCTCTGCCTGAACCCCTGGACCTCGGTTTCGTTGTCCAAGACTCGGGCCGTGTTTTGCTGGGTTTTGGTTCGTTTGTTTTCGTTCTCCTTGCTTTTCGGTTTGAGTGTGGTGTCATGTATAGGCACTGTATAGGCTTTAGGACTTGAGGACTTAGGGAGTTTTGGGGCGTCGGGTTACGGGAGTGGAGGATTGTGGAGTTGCGGGTTAGGGAAGAGAGGATGGTCACAGCCTATCCTTATCCCTATATCCCGGACCCTACGTCCCTAAGTTCCGCACTCTAAATCCTCAGCTTATGGATAAGAATCCCAAAACGGCAACGATCAGACCTTAACTCATGACAAGAATCGTCGACTGCCTCCTGTCTCTTCACGACATCCGAGGTTCTTTTGGAAGCCGGTAAGCCCTGAACCCTAGACGGCTTACGGTTTAGGATCTGGGTCTGATTCACAGCTCTTGCTGCCTGCGGCAAGCCCAGCACAACTCATAACAAGAGTATTTCTACAAATCAGACAGTCATTGATGCTAATCACTACAGTGTAAAAGATTCGGGCTTCAGAGGTATATGCCAGAGGTACGTCGGGAGTGTTGCCAGGCATTGCTGAGGTTAGTGCCTGGGTGAAGATTCAGGTCCAGGGTTTAGGTGTCAGACTTTAGGAACTTCCTCAAGCTCGAGTTTTCTTTATAGGCTCCTCCTGACTGTCTGCTTACGGTTGATGGTTCCTGGGGATTCTCGGATTTAGGGCTTAAGGTTGAAGTTGTGAAGGTTGGCTCGGCTTTTGCAGGTGCGTTTCCAAGACCTCGAACCCGACAAACCACACTGCTCGGCAAACGCCGAGTCCGAAAGCCTCAGCCCTAAGCCATCCTAAGCCCGAAACCGCAAGCCCCAAACCACCTGGCAAAGCCTGCGAGAACTCCGTGGAACCAGAAAAAGCAACTTGCAAACTCTGTCAAAGGAGACAAGAGGGCTCATTCAGGAGACCTGAGGGCCACCTCGTGGCAGCAAGAAAGCTCCAGACCTTGTCAAGCCTCGAAAGCTCCCGTTGCCTGCAACCCTCGACTCCAAAATCCCTGAAGCCCTAAACCACCCGAAAGTCCTAGAGCACTGAAGCCCGAAATCCTGAGGTCTTGATCCCGCAACAGCGCGAGGGCAGCGACCTCGCAGAATTGGTCTTGAAGGCGGAGTGACCGGATCCAAGGGCTGAATGCAGAGGTTTGAAGAGTTAGTATCCCTGAGCCCTAATATAAACCCTAAACCCTAAACCCTGAACCCCAAACATAGCAGCGTTTTCATGTCTTTGCCACGGACCAATGAGACCAGACACTCCAGTATCCCTTAGTTTCTGTCTCCTCCTGACGGGTTCCTACTAGAATCTAAGGAATATCCGCGTCCTGCATATTGGAGTCTTTGGGAACCTTCGGCATTTAGCAGAGATTTTGTTTGGGGTTCCGGTCAACGACTTTAGGCTTTAGGGATTTCTTGTCGCTTTTGGTTGGGTGTTGATAGTCAGATTTACCACGAGGTGGACTTAGGGGCTTGTTCCCGGATATGCCTCAGCATTAAACCCGAAGCCGTAAGCCAGTTCCTTGTAGCCTGAAACCTTGGCACACCGACAGACTCAGAGACCATTGAATGCTTCCGAGCGAATGCCAAACACCGCTCGGCTGTGCCAGACCCCCTGCAACGCACGAACCACCACGATACACCGCGACCGCGACTAACACCCTAAAAGTTGTTCCCAATGCGTACTCGTACCGTTTTTGCAGGCCAAGGATGCTGAGCTGACCGACCAGGGGGTGACCCAAATGACAGATGCCTGTCTCAGACCGTGGTTTTTCACAGGTTGTTTTACCCTTCTGTATGTGGTCTGACTTCTAGAGATAGCACATATGTTTTTATGGCTTAAACAACAGCTTTCGCTGGCTTGTCCGCGGCTTGCTAGGTCTTGGTGGCCAGGGTGTTGAAGGGCAAACAGTCACAGAAACCACAAAGTTCCTAACATACCTGCGCTAGTCCCTCCTGTAGTAATGAATCCTGTTTCATACGGGTCAAGTCTATATGAGGGTCCCAATATCCCACATCACATGGCTCTGTGGTTTGGTGTTTGCTAGATTTGGATGAGGTTTGTGGCGATCCTGGGCGTAGATCAGTCACAACTTCAGGGCTTTGGCTTCGTTGGTTGGTGAGCATTTACATATAGGGTCCTAAATGCTTAGACTAGGGTTTTGGCTGGTTTGACTGATCCTATGCTTACGCTAGCGAACCTTATGGTGTCAGTGCTGCGAGTGTTTAAGACTTTTTTTTCAGCCGTCATGGTTAGGAGTGGGAATTGGGGCCGAAGCCGAAGTCGAAGTTCCTTTGGGCTGATCCTCTGGATGAGTTGAAAGTGATGTCGATGTTTCGGTGCGCGAATCAAGATTGTTCTAAAAAAAGGTTCCATTTGGGGCAGCCGTAATTGGTGCCAGCCTCTTCGCACGAAGACTTTGAACAGACGAGGGAGACCCCAAAAGACTGAAAACCTTAGACTCTGCTGCATTTACTGAAGAAAGCCCAGCTACAGGAGTCTCCGCCCTCCCCCCTTTAAGCCCCCCCTGCAAGTCTTCGGGGCTTCAAGATCAAGTTTTGCGGTTTAGAGAACTCCACAGAAAAAGCTTCTCCGGCCCAGGATTACATTGATCGCTTCCTCGAGTTCGAGGGTGTCAAGAAGAATGGTTTTTCAATGGTGTACGCAACTGGGCCAGTTAAGGGATAGTTGAAGGTGTCTCTTTTTCGGCTTCACGGGGATTTCAACAGGCTTTACGGTGTTCTAAAGTGTCTTCATAATTGTAATGTGGGTGCCTGAATACTTGGTCACAATACTGCTTCGGGTTCCCTACTATACTTCTCGCAGCCCTATTGCGAGTATTCAGGCTTCAATATGAGGCTCAGGGAGGTCCAGAGGTGTGCATGAACAGTTTTTAACACGCCATAACAAATTAGTATCCCTTCGGGTTGCCGATTATACTAATCGCTATTCAGGCTTCAATATGAGGTTCAAGGAGGTCCGGGAGCTTTGAGTGAATATTCTAAACACGTCATAACAATTGCGCTCGACCCAAAAGCATTGAGCTCTTTCTCAGGACATGCGCTTCCTCCGTGTACCCTCCATGAAGATCGTCATGCGCTTGGTGACCTGGCGTGACGGAGTCCTGGTTGAGGGCTTTGAGCTTGTAGATAGGTTTTCTTTTACAGGCTTCGGAGGGCTATTTCAGAAGTGCATCGTCGCGATTTTCAGAATGGGGTTTATGCACGGGTGCTTAAACCTGAAACCTGACCGATTTGAAAGCACAAGCCGTAGGCATAGTTTATAAATCTCGTGCAGATGCAAAAAACATGATTGTTTGCAGGGCTTCGCAGGACAGCCCAGAAAGTCTTAGAGCCCTGAACCTTAGCCTGCCCTTGCGTCCCCCCTGCCTCAGATGCCCATTCGAGCACGTTTGCGGTAGACCCGAAACCCAAACTGTCTTTTCAGGTCTCACGGCTTAGTGGAGCATACACCATACGCCCCAAATGCAACATGCCACGTTGAAGTGCATCGTTTCAAGTATCCTAAACTCCGGGAATGGCTGATTGTGGATGATTCGGGATCTTTTCCAGCAGCAGGAAAAGGGTAGGGCGTAGGTTGTGCTAGTGGCAGGACCGTGAACTTCGCAAGCAATGCTGTAAGCAGTGTATCTGTAGCTGAAACTATTACTCATAGCCCAAGTCAAGTGAGGTAGTGATAGCTGTACTTACTAACTCCCTGATCCTCTAACTTCCCTAGGACATAGGGCGCACGTCTGCTCATCGAAAGTCCCTTCAGGACCCTTGGCCAAGCCCTCATAGTGAATGTCAGTGGAGGTGGACACGGTGCTGAAGCAACAAGCAGCCTAAACAAGATCCTCAATCCCAAATCCAAACAAATGCTGAATTTGAACTCCCACTTCGGACGCCCTTACACCAAATCCTTGTTCCCTTAGGCAGAGTGGGGTCGCGATCCCGCACGCACAGAAACCTTCCAGCGTGGCTTCGCATCAACACAGTTTAGGGCTTTACAGTTTCAAGGAGAGTTGCCATAAGCATTGCTATGGGGTTTCGGGTTTCACGATTTGGGGTCTAGTTGTGTTTAGGAGGTCCGTTGCGCTACAATTGCAGAGGGACGATACTGGGAGACTGCTGCTTCATGGTGTTGGGGGGATTCCTGGTGATTTCTTAGGTCTGTTGGGTTACGCTCGGGCCTGCCCTCTGTGCAAGAAGGTTACCACAGGCCAGTTCAGGATTCTAGAATTTGAGGGCTGAGAGGGGTTCGTCGTCATCATACCGAGGCTTTACCGGCCATCGTTTTGAACGTGATCTTCAGCACAGCAGTTATAGGTGCGAGTCAACCCTGAACACCTGACCCAAACCGAGACCGCTGACGGTTATGCACTTGTATTCCCTCGACGCTTCGATTCGTGGCCGAAAATACTTTCAGCCTTTAACCCTCATGGGGCGGTACCGTCCCTTTTGTAAGCCAAGAAGTCAACCTTGAATTCGTGTGTGGAAGACTGGACAGGTAAGCTACATGCTATGCCCAGGCCGCCCAAGTGTAAAAGCCCTAAAACCGCAAAGAAGGTTATGAAACCAGGACCCTTGCAAATAACCTCAAGCCCTCACTTACCTCAAGCCCTCAACCATTGTTTGGAGCTTGATTAGGGTTTCAGGTTCGGGGGTTCCGGTGTGAGGATTCTTCTAACATTTATAGGTTTAGGCCGCTGAGGGCTTCAGGACCTCGGGGTTACCTGTGTGCCCATTGAATCTCTTTCCCAAAAGCTGAATATTGGGAAAAATGACACTCTTTAGGTTTCAGAGGATTTAGCAAGTAGTTTGCAGGCAGGGCGTAGAGGCACTGTACCAGAACCCCAATTGCAGTACAAATAGGCCCCCTGCTGGACACCATCCAAAACCCTAAACCCTAAACCCTGAGCCGCCAGGGCTTTGGCTCAGGGTCTTCCCGCAGCTTTGCCCCCCTGGCCCAGGCATGAACAAAGCTTGTAAAGTGGTTGTGAGCGAGGCCTCTGGGCTGGGTGATGGGAGGGATGTCTAAACCCTGAGTCCTAAAACCCTGGAAACACAGGGTTTCGGGTGGACTGTTTGAAGGTTTCGGGTTGAAGACAAGTTGCAAGGAAGCGTAAAAGGCTTCTGGGCGTTGTAAAGGCTGAGGTTTGGGGGCTTGAGGCACTGTCGTGGTGCAATTCCTGCTGATGTTTGGTGGGTGGGTCCCATGCTATGGGGAGTGCTGCAAGCACCCTAAATCTCCAAAGACTCTAGACCACTCTACGATGCAGGCCTGCGGACCTTCTGAATCATCTTATCTTGCCGTTCAAGTCCTCCAGATCATAATGGAACCCTCAAGCCCTAAGCTTTCAGTCCTTGCCAGACTCTAGTAGAAAGCCGCAAGGGCTTCCTAACCCCTCAGTGGCCCTGACACTCTAAACCCAGACCTGCCAGGGTCTGAAAACTCGCCTTGCAAAGGGGATCCTCACTACGTGCCTTGGCACAGGGGGCTTTGCAGGGAGTTTGGGGTTTAGCTTGGGTGTTTAACGACTTTTGTCATGAAGTTGTCCAGCAACTCCGAATGCATAGGTACGCTAGCAGCAAAAGGCCATGTAGGTAGTGCTTCTGTCCCGATTGTGATGCAGAGTGCTTAATGCGCCTGGGCCAGTGACCCCTTGTTAAAAGCCACGCCCCAACACCCCAAACGCGTAAGTCCGTGAGTTAAAACTTATAAATGCTTGTGGAATTGTTGGGGTGCAGGGATCTTGCAGTGGTTGTCAGCTGGAAACATTTGTCGGCCTTCAAGACTTCAGGTGCAAGGGTCTCAAATTAAGGGCTTCGTGATTGATTTACTACTTGGTTACTACTTGTAGTTAGATCGAACTGCCAGATGGATCCAGAACCCCCGAAGCTCCGAAAGCCAACTGCGACTTCCGGATGATGCAGTGGCCCGACATCGGCTCTTTATATTTGCTTCGGATGCCCAGGTTCTTCTTTGTTTGCCCGCCTGTCTGCCTCACGCTCAGATTGTCTGGCGGGTTTCCCACAGCCATAAGTTTAACACTTTGCATCCAGAGCCCTAAGGCTTGCACACGAAATCGCGAAAACCTAGAACCTCGAACCCTAAAAAACCTAGAACCTCGAACCCTAAACCCTTTTGTTGCAAAGGTTGGTTTTGTTGGGTTGTGGACACTTTGTTTTTGCCTTTCTTCAAAGAGGAGTGGAGTTACCCATGAAAGGATCATTCAGGGGTTCATAGAAGAAGAAACATATCACGAAGTATCCTGTCATATTTCTGTGGTTTTGTAGCAGAGGCGCGGATGCTAGGACATGTGGAACTTCTATTGGGGTTTAGCCTTCAGGATGCAAAGTGAAGACAGTCGCAATATGAGGTCTCAGCATTAAATGAACCTAACAGAAGAGGGAGATCGCCATACCCAGCAGTCCTACGCACGTGCAGTCGGATCAGCGGATACTGTACAGCAAAGCCTTTGTTCTTGCCATTGGGTATATGACACCTGATGTAGGCCTTGTATTAGGACTTCTTGTGGCCCCGGGCCCAAGCCACTCCTGAAGTAACTTTGAACTTTCAGTGCGCTTCCTCGAAGCCCATGCCTTGGACCGATTTCCTCAACCCGAAAGCTGAGCATCCCGGACCCTCCGTGATGACTCTCCCAACCGTGAGCCGACACTCTTGGCTCCTCAACTTCGGTTGTTTGGGGTTTAGGAGGGTCTAGGGTTTTTAGGGTTTAGGGTTTAGGGGTTTAGGGTTCAGGGTTGAGGGTTTAGGGGTCTGGCCGGGTTGTTCCCCCTTGCAGGTGATACTTACCTTTTGACGGCAGCTCGGCCGATGTGTTTGGGGGGCGTTCGGGTGTAGTGAAGACGATCTTGGGGGGGCTTTGGGATTTACGGCAAGTATTGAGGATGACAAGTGCAGGAGTTCTCTACTCTGTATGTCAGGAGGAGTGTCCCGGTTTGGGGCCGGTTGGCGAGAAAGGGCGTGCAAGACTGGGCTTTTGGATTCAGGACAAGATACCCCACACCCCATGACCATCAATAGCAAAACACGGACATGCAACGCCCTGAAGCCTAAACCCAAAGCCTGAAGCCCCTAAACCCTGCACCCTCGTACTTCACCTGAAGCCCACAACACGAAACCGGGAATTCGAGGTCCTAAACCCTTATGATCCAAACAGTATGATACAACCCAAGCGAAAGCGTTGGAGCCAAAGGCGGGTTGAGGCTTCGGGCTGCAGTTGCAGGGCTTAGAGGCTGTTGTGGATTTGGGCTTAGGGTTAAGGGCCGTTAAGGGGACTTGAATCTGGAAATTGGCGGTCTTGTGGGTTTTGATGCTTTAGCTCAGCTTTGATCAAGCAGGGTTGAGGCTCACTGCATACTTCTTCAATGTCGTCCACGGCTTGATGTAGCAAGCTCTAGCGTACATGGGTCACGTGCACCTTTGGCTGCTTATGCCCGGCCCTCGTCCCAGAATCTCGGTCCTTGCGAAACTCCCCTTCGTCTTGAAGAAGGCTGACCTCAAAACCTTATGACATTTCCGCATAGCTTTGCGGTGGTCCGTGTCACTTGAGGCTACAGATCAGCCCGAGTCTGAGGGAGTGCAGCATGGCGGCATCGATGAATTTTCAAGCTCCCGAGCTCTTGTTGCCACGTTATGGATGTCGCTGGCTGATGATGCAAATTCATATTCCGAGCATTATCTTTCCGAGTACTATATCTATGAAGTGCAGCCCAAACCCTGCAACCCTAAACAAAGAACAGCAGCGACGACCCTGAATCCGGAGTAGTGTGAGTAGGTTCAACAACCAGTTCAGTAGCACTAACTGCCTGAAGAATAAGGAAAAACCTCCAAACTCGTTGACGGCTTGGCTTAGATTTTTGAAGGATACCTTCAGCATTATGATCCCGAAACTTAAGCCTGCAGCGAAATCGCAAGCCGTTGCTACTAGCTAAACCCGCAGCCAAAACATCCAGAATCCCCGCCTTAATCCTGCAGCGTCCTCATGAAGTCTCTGGGCTGGTGGATCCGTTGACCCCGCAAACAGGAATCTCCAAAAAACACACACACACACACACACACACACACACCCATTCGCGCACGCGAGACTGAAACCTCACAGTCATTAAGGGGCTCTGCCCCAAGCACGAAATGCACTCTGTCGCAAGTTTCCCACAGCGTCGGCGCAAAGCTACAGCCGGGAACCCGCAAGTTAAAGGAACATGCGGCGCAACCGAGGTATTTCGCACCGCCTCCACCTACTTCGGATGAGCAGACGGATCCCGATGATGAGGAGAGAGACGACAATGCCCAGGGAGGCCAGCAGCACTTCGTGTGGGCTGAGCGTGAATTTCACCTCAAGCCGAAACTCTGAAGTGTCTCTCTTTGGACCCTCCTCTCGACCATAACCAGAGCCCAATACCTATACCATTTAAGTTGAAGAATTAATCCGACAATGCTTCACCCCAATCGCCTGTTTGAGTTTTGGGACGTTCATGGTTGTAGAGGTTCTACAGAACCCCCCAAACCCTGATGCCTTCATTCCCAGAGCACTAGGCCCGAGGGCCCTAGAAATACAGTTGCCCACGCGTGAATGATGGGACAAATCTGCAGAATCAACTAATATGGTCTCAACAGTAGGGTTCTGAGAGCCTCTTTTGCAACACCTTTAAACTCGGTTTAGGGTTTAGGGTTTAGGGTTTAGGGTTTAGGGTTTAGGGTTTAGGGCTGTTGGGTAACTGGGGGGGCTAATTAATGAGGGGTCGACATTACCCGAAGCCCTTACCCTCTGCAACTCTTCGCCATTTGTTCCTTGGCCTGTTCCAGGTGGAGTTACCCTCCCCCCTTTGCCACCTGTGCACTGGGACGCAGGCCCGGCTTCGGACATGGACCAAAGCACTTAGCAATAGGGGAAGGGACACTATAGCTCAGGACATCTTCTACGTTGCAGTTTAGGGAAAGGCTTGTGATTGTTCAGGGTTTGGGGTTCGTTAACTTTATGGTCTTGTGATGTAGGGTTTGGAATGGGTTTGGAGTAGTCTCGTGGGTTAGCCGATATCAGAGTTTCCTCGCATGCCTTGTGTCGTACCGTGCGAAGCCCTCGACGTACCGTGTGTTGTAAATTCAGAGAGCCTACAGTCCGCACGGACTGTCGGACGTTTCGACATAATGCGGCGACCCTAAGTGCAAAGCCTGAAGCCCAAAACGGCTGAGGGTCCAATACCGGGAACTGTTCTGATATTCTGTTCGCTTGGGTCAGGTTGAGTTTTCAGGGATTGGGCCTTTCGCGCAGCTTGAGAACTCGACAAAAACTGCTGTCATCCCGCTTCCCTGGTCCGGGACCCTGTGACATAAACCCGCGCTAGACCCCCAATCCAAAATCTTTCGCCCCAGGCCACCATGACTTTTCGTTACGAAAACCTGGTCTTTAGCTTTAGGGCTGTAGGGTATCATTGTTTTGGTATGATTGGTCGATTTAAGATTTATGGTTGTTTGTTGGGTTCTGCGTTTAGTTGGTTAGGTCTTTATTCAAACCATAGAAACGAGGCAACTATGGATTATTTTGAGGCATGCGGGAGGGGACTTGGTATGTAGGTTTCTAGGAGTTTCCAGGTATGGTAACCATTGTTATCAAAGCAGTTTAACGCACGCGGGGGGACTACTATGTAGGCTTCTGACTAAGGCAACGCAAATCCTGTCATAACTGCATGTAGGTTTCTACGTAAGGTGACGATAGTTATATTTGCTTCTTATAGCCTGAGGCATGCAGTGCGCTTAGTGTGTAAGCTTCTAAGTAAGATGGTTATATATAGGTATACTTGCCTTCATCCCCTGTCTGTTGTGACGTGACAGGCTATTCGGGGAATCCAGAAGGCACGAAGCTGCGGCAGCCNNCCCCCCCCCCCCCCCCCCCACTTTCGACTTCCCTGAGACTCCAACGTTCCCGAGTCAAGGGGTTCCTTGTTGAGGACAACTTGTGTAGCCTTCCCTGCGCATAACCCTCTAGCCCGTTCTGATCCTTCCTGACTTGCTGGCAAACAAAGCTGTGAAGAGCTTGCAGCAGATGTGTTTGAATCGAGAGGCGGCACTCTCCGGGTTCCGGAGGAGAGTGAGGATCCCATACTTCAGGGGGTAGTTTTGCATTTCCTTCGTGCACACTTGGAGAACCCAAAGCCCTTCGACACTGTAAAAGCTTCTGTCATTCTATGGCTTTCATTTAGAAGGGTATCCCAAATAGGGAACAATGAGTTTTTAAGACCCACATGGCAAGTGTTGAAGTCATTTCATCGACATCGGACGATCCTATACAATTACGTCAGAGACCACATGCATTCAATTACGGCGTGTACCTGAAATCTGTTTTTGAAGCTCTACGCAGTTCAAGGTATGCCGCTGATCAAGGGTAAAATTGGGGTTGCTTGTGGTCTAAAACCTTTGTGTTTAATGTTCAGAGTTGAGGTGTTCTCTTCTCCCCAACTCGAAAGCCCTAATCTCAAGTTCCTAACTCCTATGTACGCAGAAAACTCTGCAGGATCCGCGTTATTATAAGCCCTAAGCAAGACGTATTCCACTCCCAGTTCCAGGATTTCCAGTGAAAGGTCCTAAGGCTCCAGCTGTGTCCAGATCCCAAAGCCGAAACTCTGAGGCCTTCATCCCAAAACCTAAACTGTATAAACTATAAATCCTCAACCCTGAACCCCACATCCTACAGCCGAAGCCCTAACCTACATGACTCAGTTTGAAGCGCCAGAAAAGAAGCCTGCAACGCAGCTAAGAGGCCCCGTGGAGACGCCGGAAGAAAAGGCGCGAGGAGGCCGGCTCCTTAGATGTTTTGCGGCTTGTTTCAGGGGTTCGAAGCTCAGGGCGCAGCATTTGAGCATTCAGGTTGCAAACCTCCATAAAATGCGCGACAAAGGACCCTGATGCAGTGTCTATATCGGGGTCTGTCGAAAGTTGGTGAGGATGCTCCTCCTCCGCAGCTCCCGAGCTTCGCTTTGGTTGTAAGGCTGCTGGTGCTCCCAGTTTTGGTATTGAATCCGCAGTTCTTAGTTACAGTCCCAGGGATCTTCATGGGAACCTCTAAATTTGCGAAATCCAATTTAAGGTTTAGAGGTTTATGGCTCTGGAGAGCAAGGGCATTGCATACAGAGCCGCAAGTAATGCTCTAAGCTTCAACAAGATTCCTCGCAAAGTGCCAACACAACTCTCGAACTATATCCCACGCAGAAATGTGCCGAAACCTCATCTTCAACCCCTCCCTCCCCAAACTCCAAACCCGATGCCTCCTGAGCCCTAAACTCCAGGACTCGTGTTGAAAGCCGAAACCCCAAGGTTCTTCAAAATACTGGCAAATGCCTACGGCCGGGCGGTGAAACCGTCAGGATCTTAGGCGTGAAACAAGGCATTCAAGCACCACGACACCAGCAAAAGCCCTAAAGGCGAGGTCAACAAATGCTCAACACTAAAACCAAGACCTCCTTGTGGCTTCCGAAGCGCTACAAAGACCTTGAACCTCAAAGCCTCTAAGCTGAAACCGCAAAGCCTGAAACCCTCAACCCTTAACTATAACCGCAGCCCTCAATCCTGGAAGCCGAAAAGGGAAGCGCCAAACCCCAATGCTACACATCCTTGACACCTGCTTCCTCCGAGACTGTCTTTGCATCGGTTTCGGCCTGGCCCTCATGACCTTGGGCTGGCGCTGGCCGGGTGCTGCCTCTGCGATGCCGGGGCGCTCAAGCTTCGGGCTGTTTTGCGTGTGCAGCTGGGCCTTTTTGCGGAGCAGGGCTGGTGTTTTTTTGGTGGTGTTTGGTACAGAAGGTGCTGTTGATACCAGCATCAGGTTTGTATTTTTCGCTCTTGTTCTCGTTATAGCATTGTAGGGACACATTGTGGCTTGCCGTTGCTCGGAGGATCAAGGGACTTAGTAAGTGGAGTTGCAGGTGTGCTTATGAAGGATGCAGAGTGTTCAAGAGTAGGGATCCCACTTGCGCTTGTTCGCTCCTGACCCAGAGAAGTGAGAAGCCTGAGCTCTATTAAAGCCCCGAAACGCTTGTCGCCTAAACCCGACGCCCCTAATTACCCCAAACCCTTTAAAGCCCCAAGTGCTAAACCCACGAACTATTCCCAAATCCCGAAGCCCTAAACCCCTGAAGCCTGAGTATTACAGAGTTTTAGGCCCAACATCCCTCGGTCGAGTCGCAAAGCCGAAGTAAATCCAAAATCAGATCCGGGAAATCGAGAACAAACTGCGCAAGTCTCGAAGCTGTAAGACTTTGGGGCCTCGCGGGACCTTGGGAACAGTAGACGATTGAATCATTATCATGTTTATGTCCATATCACACGTCCTCATGTCCTTGACTCCCTATGGAACCCTTAAAATCGCTCCTCATAGAGACCCCGGCTCTAGCGATATGACCTCAGGTTTAGGCCTGGGATTCTCGGGCTTGGACTGCCCAGGCTTCTTGTGGCCTCTACTCTCCTCATGTGGCTCGTGCCACTTCCGCAGACCCAGGATTCTCGCCTATGGTCTGACAGGGGTTTTGGCATTGGGTTTGTCAGGATTTCAGCGGTCTCAGGGGGTTTAGGATTTGTAGGGGTGTAGGCGTAGGATTTACGGATTTAGCGCTTAAAGGGTGGGAATCAGGAATCCTTGCTCCACATGCTCCACAGTCACCTCAAGGGCGAGTTCTGAGTTCAGAGTTAGTCTACGCCGAGCTTAATATCGCGCCCGCGTGATTTTGGGACTAACGCACGTCAACGAGGACTCGAGAGGATCCAAGGGAGGCTGGAAAGAGCTGGTCACCGCTGGGCTACACCGTCTGCGCACCGCAACCACAGAGTCGAGGTTTGCACACATCTGTGTTACAAGGTGCGATGAACATCGAGGGCCCACTTTGACAAACCAAACCGCAGGTTGGATTCTAGAAAAAGGCGCGTGCTACATCTCTGACAAGTTAAGTTGTTTTGAAAGGATAGGGCGACATAACTTCAGTTATGGTTACTCCGCATCATGTACAAGAAGGGACATCTGCAACATACACACATACACACATACGCAAGTACCACGCTTACCTGTCAGCCGTCTGCCCCACATAAATATTCTTGTAACCCCCTTCTAGGACCGCACGGCGGCTCGGGGCTTAAACCCCAGCACACACCTAATGCGGTTCAGAGTCATGGGTTTGGGCTCTGGGTTTGGGAAGACCGAAAGAGATTCTGTAAAGCCCTCTAGAGCTTAGGATGAAGACCTTTTGAGACCATTCAGGGCTTCAGGGTTAGGTTTGAAGGTTTCGGGAATTACCAGGTGTCTAAGCCTCAT